ATTAACACAGTGCGTCTTTAATTATCCGTGCAGAGAATGAAATATATATTCGCGTATTTATTTCGGCATCATCTCCTTCCAGCTGTTTTCACTTTATGCCGGCACAGATTTCCAGGATCCTGTTTCATGTTTGCATTTATGGTTTATTGTCTGGCGAATAAAGCATTTTGTTGTGGGCGCTGCAATAAACGCAACGCATATTGGCAGTACCACAATTCACGCTTGAATTTTCGGTGGGGGAAAAGCCCATAAAATCGGGTGCGAAAGGATATGAGTTATATGCATTTCGTGGGAAGATTCGATTCCATTGGCAGTCCACAGTTGCCCCAGTTGGCGGTTATTAAAACGCAATATTCCCCGCCTTGGCCCGTCCTCAATTTATGAATAATTCAGGCGAGTTTTCCTTTGTGCGTTCACTCGCATACAGCTTCTCATTGCGAAAGGCAGCGAGGGGTTTCCCTCTCAATATGCAGATTATTAATTTACAGAGCCTGGCAATATGCGAAATTATTTTAAAATGCATCGCGATATTGAGGGAAACCCCCGAGGGAGGGTCGTATGAAATGGGTGGGGTCTCTTTTAAAATAAGAAATTAATATCACGCCCCCAGGCAGGCTGCGAAGGTCACGGGTCAGCCTTGAAACGAGGTTAAGGTAAAAACTCGAGTGGGTGGGTTACGGTGGTACGTGAGGGATTTTCCGACCCTCAACGTAATTTGATAGCACTTTGTTTAGTTCATTGGGCAAGAATGAAGGCAAGTCCTTAAGGGATATTAGTTTCCTCTCACTGAATATGCTCTATTGCTTCGAAGGAAGAAAGAAAAACTTGAAAAGAAAATTATTCTCATGGAACTACAAGAAATTAACTTTTGGGGCATATGAAATTTCCTGGAAATGACCTAAGGAAAATAAAATTTAAGAACTTTTTAAGTTTTGTAAATAAGCTTTTGACTTTACAATTTATTCATAATAACTAGATTATAAACAAAGCTCTGTACTTTTTGCATAATTAAGAAATTATAAAACAAAACAAGAGAGTAAGTTTCCTCGAAGAGAGCAATTAAAAACATCAATTAATAAATCATAAGTAAAGTGCTAGAGGGTCCAGTTGGCTGGAGACCCCGGAAAAGCAGTCAAGGGCTTCCCATAAAGGTTATGGTTTTTCGTCCACATCCAATTAAAAATTAAAACAATACTTTCGCCGGGGACAGGTCACGTTGGGATCCCATCCGAGTGACCGTAAACTCGCATTATTAACAAGTTGTGAGCAAATGGATTTGCGCAAAAGCCAAAGAAAGCCTCGCCCACGACTCCTCCTAGTCAGCTTACCCATTTCAAAAACCCGTCCGGCAATTTAGCCATCCATTTCTGGGTTTTGGGTGTCGCAAGGGACGGCACGTAAACATAATTAGACGCACATTTAAAAGGTCGTTAAACGCCGCAGCAAACAACAACAAGACCCATCTCAGGAACGCGGAACCCCTTTGCTCTGAGGTTCTTCCTAGCCAGAAACTGACCCAGGCCCCACTCGCGCGTATTTGCATCTGGCCAAAGTGCCTGCCATTGCCACTGACGCCCCCATGCCATGGCTTGCCCTTGTCCGCGCGTGACTGGGAAAATGAAAACTGCTGGCGACACGGACACTGGAAGAAAATTCTATACAAGTCAAGAAACTAAAAGTTAGTCATTAGCAAGCCTTACATTTATGATAAAATGTGTATATAACTATACAAGTCTCACCCTTTAATAGAGTGTGAATATATTTCTCTGAGTGCCTCAGCAACAGCGTTAACATTGGCAATAGAACATTCGTAATGTTGGTGTTGCAACAGCAACAACACGTAAACACCATTAGCATCGTTGAGTCACTCGTTGTGTCCGTGGCACACGGCAAACTGTGAGTGTATGTGTGCAAAAGGTGCACTTCAGGGCGCTGTCAACGACTTGACATTGTTTCAAGAGCGAGAAATGCGACTTTGAAGCCTTGAAACACTCACATTCGCATTCGCATCTTCCCAGTAGCATTTTGCAAGCGGCAAATCGTAAGAGCAATGACAACATGCACAGTGTGCAAGGCAAGCCCAGGACATCTGTCCTGTCGTTTTGAATTATGAACAATGCACACAATACAAAAATCTCAGTCACTGCAATTCTGTATTCTTAAATTTTGAAAGGGTATATACAGTACTGGGATTCTTTTAAACTGAAAATTATATATGTATACCTTTTAGGCTATATTCGGTACCTAAAATATGTAATAAAATTATCGGAAGCTTTTTGAAAAATTAATGGTTAGAAAGATATGATTAATGGTTTATTTATTCTTAAATAAATTTGAATAAACTTATTACATTTTCAATGGCTTTCAAGATAAATGATACGAGGTATTGCTAAACTGTAGGAAGGAACTAGGGAAAGAATTTCCTAACTAAAAATTTCCAAATAACGGACGTATGGTCCGTAATGCCATTAAATATTACGTATACGCCTAGTTAAACAAACTATTTTTTTAGTACATGTTATGAGATATAGTAAACCGGACTAACTGATAAACGGTCTTTAATATCAATACAAATTAAACAAAAGTCTTGTTTAACCAATGACCGTTTATGTATGAGGCCATTTCATATTACGTATACGACTAGTTGAACCAACTATTTTTCAAATTGATTATTAGAAGATTTTGTTAAATCAAATGAAAAGTTAAACTGTATTTAATATCATTACAAATTAAGTATACGTCTAGTTGAACCAAGGACGAATTTTATTTATGGCCATTACATATTACGTATACGACTAGTTGGACAACTACTTTTTTAAGTAAATGTTACGAGATATTCTTAAATCGAATTAAAAGATCAATTATCCTTAATGTCATTTCATATTAAGTAAAAGTAAAGTTGAAAGAATATTTATAAGATATAAATCCATTACATATTACGTATACGACTAGTTGAACCACTGACTTCCTTAATACATTTTATTTCTGATAAAAGCAAGATAATTTTCCCTAAAATATTCGAAAATACAAACAAAATCAGCCGTAGGACATGTAAACAAACAAATCCTTAACCCACAAAAAGTAAAACCTAAGCTACTCCATGTTAATCTTATTGTCTTGTTCTGCCACCATCCGTAGACTTTGACCCAGGTAACTTATGTAAGTCTGGACTACCTTAACCTCTGCCCGGGTGGCAGGTGTCTCCCTAAGTCAACACGTGGCTTCTGGCAAAGTGCCTAAACCACACCCAGACCCATGTATATTGCGTCGTCTGCTTCCGTTCAAATCCGCCAGATGGGAAGATGGTAGCACTTTGGATGCCCATCTGGACCATCAGAGAGGTACCTAGAATTTCGTGGGATTGTGCAATAAAAATGCAACGTTTATGGCTGGTTGCTGTCGTAGCCTGGCTGTGGTTTCCCTTCCCAACCAGCCCCATTTTCCACTCTCGATGGAAACTGTTACACACTAACACTCCATTTGTGCACAGTAGGTCGAGAAAGGAAAATTCAGCTTAAAAATATATTACACTTAAAAGAAAATAGAAAGAAACTGTGATGATAATATTATTATTTGGTAATATAAACTATACTAAGAGAAAATATTAATTTAAATTTATATATACATAAAAGGGAGAATTCGTTTATTCTTTTCTATGATATTCCGAGAATCCTGGAAAATATAAATACAAATAATTCCCGCCCCTGCCACTGTGTGTCCGTTAAGTCGTGACCTCTGCGAGTGGCCATTAACGCTTTTTTATCTGTTCATAAATTTTAATTTTGGCAAAATACTCCAAGTACGTGCCACACCCCGAGACCCCGGCTCCACTTCCCGTGCCATTCGACTTCGAAACGAAGCCACCATAATTCTTTACTCCGGGTTTTTTTCCGAGAGTGAGTCCTGGGTTCTGGGTTCAAGTCAGGGTCCGGGTTTTCCCCTTCGTGTTTGCCTGGCGTTTTCATTTTTGGCCAAGAGAAATATGACTTGGTGGCTGCCTGTGGCCGTGCAGTTTTCCTTCAGCGTCTTTAAGCGTCGAGGACCCGTAACCTTATTTCGCCAGCGGAGCATCCTCGGCGCTGGCGGGCTTGTTTATCGTCCTTTTTGCATCTCATTGAGTTCGGAACAGATCCCGCCCACTAAGACTTGCCTGCTCACAAGCGCTTTTCTTGGAGGCGCTGTGCGGGTCTTTGCCCCATGTCTTGCCTCTGCTCCTTCGCACTTTTCAGTTTTTCCATTGCATATTTAACCCAATTAAAATGAGTTATGTGAGACAGGTGGAGAGAGCGTGTTAATCCTTGACCTGCTGACTTTGCCGAAGCTCATTTTCCCAGTCGCCCAAGTGGCGCCTTGAGCTGAAGATGTTTCGTTTTTTTGCTATCACAAAATGTTTACCATTCGTTTTTTCAACGTTTTCTTTGCCGTTTAGTTATGGTCTGGCGGAGAAGTCTTGCCTTGTGATATAAAAGTTTGATTTTTAAGAGGAATAAAAATGCTCAAAGACTAAATGGTAGCAATTTCAGAGACATTTTCCCATTAAATGCTTAAGACTGAGCTATCATTTAAAGATACTTGTACTTTAATTTGAACTTAGATAACAGCTTAAATTCTGTGTGTTTTTTCATCACGTATCTTTGGCTTGTGTAATTTGTAGAATATATTAAACTAAATCATGTTGATCAGTTATAAAATATTTGCATTCTTAATAACTTTATTTTGCGCTTGAAAAGATAAACCAAAATTAGATTAAACCCTTGCCCTTTTTTGTATAGTAAATATTTCACTTTTCATTTACACACAACACTTTCTATTTGTTTTTCTTTAATTAAAATACAACACACATATTTCCTTGAAAATATATATAAGAGACCAGAGAGCCAAAGTCAAGTCAATAAGAACCTTCAACTATCCATAGAAAGCTAGCTTAACAGCTCCTGATACCTGACAGTTACCTTTACTTCCCCCTCCTAACTCTTATCCTGTGTATCTTATCATTGCAGGTATGTTAATAGAGCAAACTCTTCTCAACAAGTGGATCTCCTTCTGGTCCGACAAGGAGCAAACAATGACCAAAGACCGAAGAGCAAACTAACCTAATGAATTTATGTACGAGGTACGAGGTGCAAGGTGCAAAACGCACAGGGCCGGGCAAAGGCTCTCTGTCTAACTGAAAGTACTTAAGCCCATAAAATATTCAAGCCGTGAACATGTGGGGAAAATTACAAAGAGCTGCCCGGAAAAGGCGCACAAAAATCCGGAATCCAGCAAGGGAAAAACCTAAGGAAGGAAGGGAAGGTGAAAACATGGACGGACAGACACTCGACCGAGTAACGAAATCCTAAGTAGGCATTACACACAAATATACTGAGAGAAAAATCTGTATATTTGGTTTATAAACTCAACTAGATAAAGCTATAACTATTTAGCTTAATTGGAAATCTAGTTTTTCAAATGATTTCTTAACTTATTGAACCGAATAATTTGCGTCATCAAAATTCGTAATATATTTTTCTCTGTGCCCTCTTAAACATCCTACAGTTTTCTGAAAACGACGCAGTCACACAATTTGCCATTGTGAGTTTAGGGGGCGTGTGTATGGTAGGGAGTGAAGGTCTTACCCTTGCCCCGGGGGATAGGCAGCCAGCCACTGATTGAAAAGAAAATTACGGGCAAGTAGTTGGCCGGGTGGCCGCCAGATGGTCTCGACAAGGACAACGACAGCGGGCCACGGTGACGTCTGTGCTGCTGATGAGCAGCATAAATGTCCTGGCGGAAGAGCAAAAACGAGAGAGAGAGAGAGGGAGAGAGGAAACGGAAGCAAGCGGCGCCGCCAGTGGGACCAGCAGCCTTGAGCCCCGGAAGTGGTAAAAGCCAGGAGGGGAAGGCCAGGGGTCTTCATGCTCTACTCTCCAAGCCATTTGCATTTAAGAGTACACATTGGAGATGTCTATGCCCCTAGACAGCATCCGCTGATGGCAACTGTTTCTTTCTGCTTCAGAGAACAGGTTTCCTTTTCCACATTAACTGTGGTCTATTTGTGACAACTTTTCCAACAACTTAACCAACATTTTTTACGTACATTAAAATCATCATCATCATATAAACTAATTCAATACATTTAAAATCAAATTCCTATACAAGTATAAATATGACTGAATTTTCATGGGTTTTTCCTTGCATTTTCTCAATTTTATACCACTGTACTGCCACTGGAGCTGGGCTTAAAAGGCGTGGAGGTGGAGAACCGGCTGGCATAGCACGTTGTGGATATTAAGCATGTCCTTAAGCATAAAATGTCAATAAGTGCACCCAATCGATGCTAAGCAGTTTACATTGCGACAAGCCACTGAGGCACCGTCTTGCCACTTTCCAGTGCCCTCCTGCCTGCCAATATCCTTCGCTTTCGAACAGGAACTTTGCTAACAATGCAAAGGACTCGGAAAAGCACAATCACAATCACACGCACACATACGTTCATGTTTGAGCTTATCTTTATGCAGGCGTCTCATATTTTCCGATAAACGTATTTGGAAAAGCGAATTTTCGCTAAAATTGCACAGGCATTAAAATGAGCTGAGGAATAAGTGGGTTTTTTAATGCAGCTATGTTGTTTGTATATATTTTAAAATTATTTCTTTATTTTCTTAATATTAATACATTCTAGGCTAGGCATTATTAGAACAGGTCTCCATAAGTCTGCTTAAAAAGTCTATTAAGCAAAATTAGTTAAGCGAATGATATCTTGCAAGCGGATCTAATGAGTAATTTCACCCTTTTAACACACCTGAGCAAAGGTGTATTTTTGAGGGTTTACCCAATACATTTCATAGGAGACTGGCAATCGATACTGTCTTATCCGCATGTCACTCACTTTGAACATTTCTAATTTCGTTGTAAAAACAAAGAACACACTTGCCTTATCAGCTTGTTCTTGGTATCTACGAACAGAACACAAGTCTGGCAGGTCTCTCAACTTAAATATAGCCAAACGTTGAGCAACGAGTTCAGTTTGTTGAGTTCCGGAAGAGCTGAAGGTCTAACCGAAATATGAGAGGTACAAAAGCAAAGTGAGATCAGTGCTCGGAGACTAAAGATAGCTCATCGTAGTTCCGCAATGTCACATCCACGTGGTCTTATTACTGGCCTTCTTCATCGGAATCCGGGCGTATTCGCTGGAGGTGAAGTGTCAACTCTTGGCTGGAAAGGGTTACATAGGAGATCCCAGTGATTGCCAGGCCTGGGCTTACTGCGAGGACAACAGGCTCATTGATCGACGTAGCTGTTCGGAGGGCTCGCTGTTTAATTTCCGAGATGGATCCTGCAAGAAGGCTTCGCAGGCAAAGTGTCATTCCAATCTATCGGAGATCTGTTCCCAGCTTAGGCCGGGAGACTATGCTGCCGATCCGACCAATTGCCGTCGATTCGTTAGCTGTGAGGCCAGAGAAGATGCCTCCGGAGGCGACTGCGGCGAGGATCAGGTGTTCAGCAATAAGCTGCAAACCTGTGTGGCAGAAATCTCCGGCTGTCCGCAGAACAATATTTGCTCCCTCATGAAAGACGGCTTGCTTCTGGCAGATCCACAGACCTGCAACATTTACTATAAATGTCACAATGGTTTCGCCACCTCGTTGAATTGCTCCGCTGGTCGGTATTTCAACAGAATCACAGGTCACTGTCAGTCCTGGCTGCCGGAGCATTGCTCCAAGGACGATGAAACAGTTCCTGCTATACCGCCCACCTCAAATTCACATATCTGTGCCAAGTTCTATCAGCCGGATCGATCCGGAATGCAGAGCTTCCCAGATCTAATGACCTGTTACGGCTACTACACCTGCACCTCCCCGTACGATGTGGGAAAGTGGAATAGCTGTCCCTGGGGCACACACTTTCAGTGGTGGAGCGAAAGCTGTGCATCACCGGAGGGCAATAGCTGCTCCTACGATCGCTGTGGAAATATGAACCGTCTGATGGTGGCCACTATTAACACGGGTTGCCGGGAATACACTGTCTGCCGGGATTATCGCTCAACGAAATCGGAAAAGTGTCCCGGTGACTATCCGTACTTCAACGAACTTAGTGGCCAGTGCAGCAGGCAGTTTCCCAATCACAGGGTGTGCTACATGAATGGCTGAAAAGTGGGGCTACGGGATCGATTTATTCCTAATCTCAATTAGACTTCATTATGATTTTTCTTTATACGGAATAAATCGTTAAATGTATCTACATTCTTTATAATATATTTAAAATTCTTTTGCTACTTGCAAACCAGTAGTGTACATTTTCATTCTTATAACTACTTCATTTCGTTTAAAGTAAAATAATAACATCCTGAAAGAGTATAAAAACCATCAATTTGGCAACTGAAATAAGAAACGAATGTGTCTCAGACAAGATTTATGAGCAGCAACAACATTTTTTATGCTTTAGAGATGATGCTTAAAACTTTAACTTTTGAAACATAATTCATTCAATGTTTTGTAATACTATCCAATTTGTTTTTCTACTTTTGGTAATTAACAAAAAATAATTACCAACTACATGAGTCATTTTTAAACCCACTACTGAAGTGTTTATATTTACACAACATTATCTTATATAACAAGTGATTAATTACTTTTCTAATGTTATCTAATTATGATAAGTGCCTCTTCAACTTAAGAGTCCGTCTCCTACTACAAGAGACATCTTTCGCTTGAAGTTTCGCTACCAGAAAATCAAATGAATCAACGAAAAATTCAAATATTTTCCAGCTTTCGTGGATGTCAGGACCCCAGAAGGGACTCCTGTCTTTATGAAACAGCCTTGGGTGTGAGTGGGTGGCCCCAGTAAACGGCCTTAAAGTGGGTTGGCATGGCTGCAGGCCACCAGTCAGCCCCAATGTCGAGGCACAACAATACGTCGCGTCATTGAATTATTATGATTGACTTTTATTACACGGAATCGCAATTTATTTTACTTAACAACAGGCTGCCATCCATGGAGCCACCGAGTGCGGTTAAAAGTAGCGAAAATTTGAATGAAAAGTTGTAAAGAAATTACGTTATTTATCATTCGCCAGAGTGGCGACCCAACGACAGATGGGGGGGGGGAGGACCGAGATGTGGCCCAAACCGTTTCCGTATCCGCTCATTTATTTGCCGCACTGTCAAGCGCACACACCCATGCACAGAAAGAAAATGTTATACAAAATGTAATAACTAAAAAGCCTAAAGAATAGCTTACTTTTACTCCTTTACTGAGAAACCATATTGAATACCATTTTACTTGCAGACTAAATTTAATAAATAAAATATTTAATCAAAAGACCAACTGCAGTATAAATTTCCTCCATGTCTCCCCATATATTGGGTCCCTTTCCTTCGTAGTTCGTGTCACAGTTAAAAAGTTTTCCGCGGCGGCAGCAGAAATTCAAATTTATTGTTTGCGGTTGCCAAGCGGACCCCATCGACCACGCCCACCTTTAGTCGATGGGCTTAAAATTAGTAGCGTCGTCTTGCTGCGAATCGATGGGCGTTTGATTAACGGTCCCGCCAAAAGATTGAATCGCTTAATTGCCTTAAAAGTGGGCGTGGCTGAAGGGAGGGAGAGCAGAGGGAGGATTTAATGGCAGGATAAAAGTCCTGACTATCCAATTACACACGATGTAGCAGCAGGCTGAAGGAAATAAGCCGTTTTTGGTTCCGCCATCACTTACCTTTAATTAGCTAATTCCCTTTAAGGTCCTGGGCCCTCAATTGTGGTTCGGGGATTACCCAATGGCGCACTCCCGGGGATTAGAGTTTAGTAATTGCTGTAGAGGAGGACTTTTCGGCTTTTGTGCCCTTACAAAGTTGTCCCAGTCTCTGTCGAAGTCGCGGAAAGTTTCTTGGGGGAGAGAAAAAATAAAAGGCGGAAGTAAAGCGGCTGAGAAAAGTAATGGTAATATTATGGAAGATAACCCATCTAACTCCGCACTTATATTTATCAGCTTAGTCAAGGAAATTCATTTCGCTTTCATGGGCGGCGGCTCAATTGGGGCAATAAAGTAGGTGTTACTTTTAACACTGCCTTCCCCCAAGCAAAACTTTATGATTTCATTTAAATTCTATTAATAATCCCTTTTTTTCCTAACCAACTAGCATAAAAACTAGCCTTTATTACCGCATTTTTTTTAGAACCACAATTAAAATTAATAATAATAAATATGCTGTGACATAGTCATTCATATTTCTTTTACATAAAAAGAGAAGCTCATATTAAACCTCATTAACGTTAAGCCCTTAGTTCAGACTGGCTGGTTTTTAATCAATTTCCATAGAAATGCCTTTGTTTCTGACTTTCATTCTTTGTCGTTTTTTTCCATTTAAAAAATAATTCATACTCATTTAAGGATGAAAATTACTCCGCAGTCCTTTCACTGCCGCATTGGGGGAAAAGGGACAAAGGCTGCGGGACCAAGCAGTGCAATTCAATGCGGGTTTGCCATCAACCGCAGGCTGCGACATTCCAGTGTTAAGCGTTTTCTTCGAATGGCAGTGAAAACCGCACAAAGCCAAGTTCCCCCCAAAGTTACCCACGATTCCGAGCGGGGGTTTACTCAATGCAGTCAGGGCCAATGCCATTGCCATTGCTACAGCTACTCCTTCTCAACTCGACTCCTCTTGCTCCTCTTGCTCCTGGCTATGCTTTTGTTTTTCCAACTGGTTGACTGCGGCCACCTTCTTCTTCTGCTTCTTGGGAGCCGGCATTGGAAGTGATTTCCCCTTGCTGCCTCGGCTGCCCTGGCTGGGTTTGTTTGTATGCGTCTGCTGTGGTTTATGTCCTCGTTGTTGACATTTAGTTGACACACACAACACGGATCCCCTTTGGTTTCCCCTGGTCCCCGGCCCCGGCCCAAGGACTTCCGGCAACACAGCATAGTCCAAGGACCTGGCAATGGATCATCGGCGCCTTTGTTTACACATCGCCACCGAAGCTTGCCGCAGTTCTCGTCCTCCTGATTGTTCATCGTCAGCTGGTGCTCTTCATTGTTGCTAACTAGAAAAGCCCGAGCAGAGTCCTTTCTGCCCGTCAGAATGTCCTTTGGCACACAGTGGTTGGAGCTGTCCAAAAATTGTTGTAATAATATTTGGAATGAATTTTAAAGAAAGTTGCTCCCAGAGAACTACAGTAAGGAAACTAAAAACTCAAGGACTCCAAGGACTGCCTGTGCTTTCTCTTTTTTTACTAAAAATCCTGGATTTTGGCTACTGTTTGACAGTTGGTGTAAACAATTTTTGAAAGGTTATTTTTGCTTGCAACAGCCGCGATCTGCACTTTGTTCCGCTTTGCACTTCATTTGCTAGACCATCTTCCCAGTCGTTCGTTCCTTCGTCCTAGTCATCCTAGTCCTCGTAGTCCATCCTCCTTGGGGCAGTAAATTCTGTTTACCAGCTCGGCTGTCGTTGTCTTTGCAGTGGATGCATCGGTGGGACGGCTATTTGTTATGTCGTTTGACTGAAGCTCCTGACATTTATCCAGCAACTGCAGTGAGCAACCGGAATATGCAGAGGATGCCCGGCCTTAGATATTAAACCGCCTTCAGGCAATAAGAGACTGCAATGCAGTTTTTGCTTGATATTCCCAGCCTTGAAAATATATATGGGGTGACAGGGTGGAAGGAGTATTGGATTTCCAGGAAGCACCATTAATTATTTAAAATTTGTCCAAGGCTTGTTAAGTCAAAAGAGCTATCGTTTCAAAGAGCATTCTGTTACCCAGCTCTTAATGCGTTTTCTCAGGGGAGATGTCTAAACACTGGCTTTAAGAATTATTTAAAATTTATATAGAAAGCATAAAATAATTGAAAATACATACCAGATATTAAACCTTAGGAATAATACAAAGAAAGTATATAATATATTTAATCTGTTGCCAGATCTTTATTTATATTTATGTGCTTAATTGAATCATTGATGATTTAATCGTCTTATATGGAGCAAGTGGGATTATCTCATTCCTCTGCAATTTATTTGCGCCTTCCTCCGGGAGCAGGTCTAAATGGTTTTCGCCTGGACTTGGAGTCAACAATAAGTACAGATTGTCGCTTGAGGAAGTTACGTGAGGGCACTTCGTTATCATCGTCCGTGGTGGCCACTGTTGGGAGGCAATGATTTTTTAGAATGGCCAAGGGCTTGGCACGAACTGGACCAGTATCAATCTCTTACCCGCCGCCGGCGCCTGTTCCGGTGAGGATGAGGAGGTGCCCGCCGCCCGTTGAGCCCGTCCGGCAAAGAGATTGTAATAACACATGGGCATCGGTTGGGGCTTCTCGCCCTCGGGCGCAGTTGGGGACTTTGGTTGCTCTGACTTGTACATCTCCTCCTCCTCTTCGTCAACAATGTCCAGCTTGGGTATCTCAAACGGTGGCACATCCTCGGATTTGCTCAGCTCCTGGCAGCGCTTAATCTTGAGTTTGAGTATCTACAGGAAGAATATTTCCAGCAAAGAATAATAATTGGATAAGCAGTAGATTTTCACCTCAATCATGTCCTCATCTGCGGCAGTGTGGGCCAGGAAATTGGGTAGTTCGGCCACGCTCACGTGGAGTTTCCTCTCGGGTATCTCAATGTTGCTCTCATCCACCTCCTGCACTTTAAAGATCATCTCGCAGATGCGCTCCTTGAGATACTTGAGCACACCCATCGACTTGTCCGCCTCATCGGTGTCCAGCTTCCGGTCCTGCTCCTTGGCTGCGATGCTGTTTTTGATTTGCTCAATGACCTCTTGGTTTCTATTAACAATTAGAGTTTAAGAATTAAAATATTTAAAATATTATAAATTATTTTATACTAACACTTCGCTCTCCTTGACATCAGAGAACTTGGAAGCCTCCAGCTCGCTGGTTAGTGCCTCGCGTTCCGCCTCCAGATTGGCCTTCTCTGCCTCGGCCGCCTTCCTTAGATAATTGAGACGAGCAGCGGACTCCTTCTGGGCACTGAATCGCTCAAAGACCTCGAAGGGTGAGGTGGCTCCAGAGGCCTCCATGAGCTGCTTAAATAGCGATTCCATGTCGCTGGTCACACTCTCCAGCTGGGAAGCCGGCTCCTCCTCACCATTCTCTGTCTTGGCCGTGTGCTGGCCATCGCCGGAACTGGAACCAACGCTATCCTGATGCACCAATGTCTTGGTTTCCGCAAAGAGTTTACGCCCAATCCTCTCTAGTTCCAGCTTACGGGCCTCCACCTGTTTCCGGAAGTCGAGAGCCTGGCGTTCGCGTGTCTTCTGTGAGAGATTTGCCTGCTGCTCCTGGCGTTGTAGGATTACTTTGGCGGCGTCTCGCATCTCGACAGCCTCGTTGTGGACCTGCTGCAGCCTTTCGATCTCTGCCTTTTGGTCACTAAGGGATGCCTCCAGTTCCCGTAGACTCCGCTCGAAGCGTTCGGCATCCGTCATCAGGGAGGCCTCAATGGAGCGATACTTCTTGCGGATGTGCTCCGCTTCCATCCACTGGACATTGGTGCGATGGATCTCGTTCTCCAGTTGACAAACGAGCTATTGGGATTTTTAAATATTAATTAAAATTTAATTTAGTATTTATTAGAATTTCCTACCTTCCTGTTGGCATCCTCCTCTAGAGTCTCTGGTGGCTTCTCGCCCAGATTCTGGTTCTGGGCCTCCTTATTGGCCAACAAACCGCGATATTTCTCCACCAGCTTGCTGAAATGTTGCTGGCGCGACTTGAAGCGATGCCGCAGCAGATCCATCTGCTTCCGGCTCTCGGTGATCTTGAGATCGGTGAGAAAGATGGCATCATCGGCATTTTTGGCTCCCACCGGATACGTGGCCTTCCCCACAATTATAGTAGGAGTACAGCTCTGAGCCCTGCGCTGCTCCCCACCGGGCTCCTTGATAACCAATGGACGCTGGACAGGATTACGGAGACGACTTGCCTTTACCGTCAGCTCCTTGATGTCCTTCTTTAACGATCCAATGGTGTCGCAGTTAATGCGGTTTTGCTTCTGCCACTCGGCTGCATTGGCAGTCTTTTGGCCCTCTAAAGGTGTAGAATTTTAATGACACACAAACACTTGACATGGAAAGATGTAAGGACTCTCACCTGCCAACAAAATCCGTTTCTTAATCTCATTTATTTGTCGGTTCAACTCGTTTAGCTTGTCGGATTCCATGGCTTCATCTGTGCTGTTTTTGCTTTGAATAAGCGTTTAAAGGATATTCCGTCTGGTTTTGTCCTTTCGTTGGATCGATGTGGAAGTTGCTGTGGCAACGATTAAGTTAACAATAAATTGCTCCTTGGGTTACTCCCCTTTCTCGAGAAGTTATTTGTTATTAATCTATAGAAATTAAAAAGCCAAAACAAATAATGAATTTTAATTGCTTTTTTAAGGTTTGGTGAACTATTTTAAATCGCTCACATAGCATTGAAAGAATTTTTAAGATTTTTAATAATTACAAAATATAACCAAAGATTACAATAATTTGTCGCTAATCATAAAACCAATTAATTTCGCGGCAAATTAAGAAAACGAGCCTTTATCACGAGATTTCGCACCCTGGCAACGAATTCGGCCGCGTGGCTGGGCTCCTGGAAGGTGCAGGCAAAGTGCTCCGGAGTCCCCTCCGGACAGAAGGCGTAGTTGAAATTGAACCAGCCGCAGCTGTTGCTCCTGTTGGCCATGTATCCAATGTGCCAAGTGCCATCGATGCGAGTGTAAACGAGCAGAAAGGCAGACTTCTTCTCGCGGAGTAAGATATAGTAAAGACCATGACGTTCCAAGATTTTGATATCTCCTGTATAAGAATATTCATTATGGGCACCACCTTCCCGTTGCCACTGCCTCACGCTGTTGAAACGAAACAATGTAACTGGTTTGCTGAATAGGATCCTGCCGCTGCTCTCGATGTCCTGCCGATCGGCAATTGGATGCTTTATCTGCATAATTTTACGGGGATAGCCCGTCATACTCAAGGTGGTCTTGATCCCGGAATCTTCGCTATCGCAACTATCACTGGAATCCGAATCCGGTGCATTTCTGGCCCATCCATCGCTGGCATCTAGCTTATAAAGTACCCGTATTCGATCAGGATGCATTACTCGATTACGTTGAAAGGGTTCACCGCCAGCCAAGGCATTTACTGGGAGTTCCTCCTGGCGATTTAATCTAGCCACATTTGTCTGAAATTCATTTTGTTTAAATACCCTTGAGTAGGTCAAGGTGCCGCTGCTTCTTTCCAATTGGTTTAACTTGCTTTCTTCTGAAAAATTTCAGCTAAATTAGAAACAAAATAGAATGCTTTTCGTGACTACTTACCCTGAATGGATTCCCTAAACATTTGAAATAGATTAACGGATAGAATAAGACTCTTAAGTGCCTTGCAGGTTTGCTGTTTAATCTGCTCCTCAGATTGGGCCCATTTCCGTTCTCTGTCGCCAAAACAGAGCCTCACACTAGGTCTCCAAATTGGTTTAACACCAATTAAAGAATTAATAAAGCCAGTACCTCGTCCTGTTTCTATAACTGTGGCCATTGGCTTTTCAAATTCAATTGGATCTTGAGCTGGGATGATAGGTGATGTTGGTTCCTCGATTACTTGTATGTTTGCTTTTTGTTCTGGTGCATTTTCCACTCCTGAAGATCCTGCAATCTCGGGTGCTTCCAGTTCTTCGAGATTGTTTTGATTTATATCTTGTAATTCGATTAAATGTACTTCCTTGATTTCCGTTTGCTCTAATACATTTGCTTCTTTAATTTCGGGAACAATAATTGCTTCGATTTGTGAAGGACATTTTCCATCATTTTCCAGTGCATTTGTTTCCTTAACGTGTCCAGCTTCTGCGCGGGCGCAGTGCATCTGAAGTTCCGGAATAAAATAAGGAACCGGGCATGCATCATCTTCGGATGACTTGGGAATCCGTTCCAAGTAAGAGGATGACTTAAAACCAATCAAATCTCTTACCAGACCTTGCTCGCGCAACCTTCCCATGATATCCATTTGAGTCATGAGAGATTTTAGTGGTAAAACGGGTAGGTTATATTCCATTTCAAATGATTCCTGCAAAATGGTTGCCGTGCAGCATTCTTTTTCTGATTTTTGGGTCTGGAAATGGGGTTCGACTTTGGGTACATTCGATTGTAAGACATCTCCTCCAGGAGCCTCGGTTTGTCCAGCCATATTGTATCCATCTCCATCCACATGACTGTCCAACATTGTCTAAGCGGGGATGACTATCGAAAGAAAAACCGAACTTCTAATTGACTGAGATTTTGAACATAAATGACTTACCGATTGCTAGAGTGTTGAGTCAATTTGAAGGATACACCCAAGTGTGTATATTATGACAGGATTTTCTTGGATTTGTAGATATCTAGATTCCGGTTCCGGTTTTTGTATTTTCTGAAACTGTCTCTCTAACATTTCTGAGACTCGTATTTTGTGTCTCTCTATTGTAATCGTATCTTTTCATTAGTATCACCAGCAGGTCAGTTTTCTATTTGCCTTATAGTAGAGAGGTTAACAAGATAAAAATGTATCTGGGAAATGTTTTTGGTTTCATTGTTGTCCACACGCATGATGTTATGGCAGGACGGCAGTTCGGCCCCTGCGTCTAATTACAATTTGCTTTTTGTCCAACGGAGCGTATGCGTAATCATAGAGATGGGGAAAAGGAAACTGACTGAGGGAAGGCACATCTACCAAGTGGAATGGGAATCAAATTACATTGACAACAACTTTTCGCTGGCTTTTCAATAGACTAAAGGAATGAGCTCGAAAACAAAAAGCACCTGAAGGCCGAAAAACACAACATTGCCCAGTTTCGCGTTGTTGTTTTCCAAGTGAAATGAGTATGTATAGAATATATATGGGAAACCACCCAAGCCGGAGCCGGAGCCCGAGCCCCTGCCCGCAGCTAAATAAATACGCAAGGGACCAGGACGAGGACCACGACCAGGACCAGCTCTGGCAAAGCAAATAGCAGAGCAAAAATATTTGAATCTGAAATATGCATAAAATGCGGGAAAACGAATTCAAAGCACTGCGAAATAAATAAATAGCGAATGCAAACAAAAATGGGAACAAAAAGCGGAAAACAAAAAAAAGCAAAAAAAAAAAAAATAATTCGAAGGAAAGTTCCCTTCTCAAAAAGTAAAACAATCAAAATTTGCGCACCATTAAATTTTGTATTGTACTCGTTTCACCGCATTTTCCCTCCCATCGTCCCAGCTTTTGCAATTTTCTCATTTTCCTCACAGTCATGTGTGTGTGTATGTGTCCCAAATCGACTTTCTCCTCAATGTTCAAAGCTTTGATTTCCGCAACTCAATTTTATTCCACCAAATTCTTAGATTTTTCCTCGTTTTCCGGGACTGCAGCTTTTGGAATCCTTGTGAATATTTTCGTTGACATATATCTACATATTTGCAAAACCGATCAAAGTGCCGAGACAGCGAAATGTCAGTTATGATTGCGTTACAAATTGGCTTTGATTTATGACTTTGTTTTAACAGAATTCAGCGAGATAAAGTTACTTTGATACGGATCACGACGAAGCTTTGATTTTTCAATGGAATTGCCATATAAAAATATAAATTAATATTTATTTAAAGAATGCGAATATTTTAAGCTTGGCTATGATCGATTTCCGATTAGATACTATAATTCGATTGCAAACTGAATGGATATATAAACTTCACCGAGCCGAAGTTGCTTTCCTTTTTTCCTTTGTTTTAATTAGTCTTATGTAAATGGCAAACAAATGTAATTGTTTGTTATATATTTATTTGTTTTTGTTTATTTATTTTTTTTTGCTGTGGTTGGGTACAATCATAAATTAGCATTTGTTGAATATTAATTAGGGTAAATGCATATGTGTAAATATATACTTCTAATTTATAGTTTTAAATAGTGAAAAGTGTGATGTTATGGCTTAATGTAATATTCGTTTATTAAGGTACCAAGTGAAAAATCAAAGAATTTAATTCACTTAAATAGTTCGAATTACAGTTGAAATGGATGTATTAAAATAAAATACTTAACTTGATCATGAATTAGTTAAACTAGCCATTTTCTTGATTATTATTAAATCCATTAACACACTCATCACATTACTTTTAAAATATATCCAAGCTATAATGCCTTTCGGACATATATGTATATTTATTTTTCATGCAAGCAAAACTGTTCTTTTATATTACATTACTAAATCTTGTTATAAAATAATGAAGTAAACAGAAATTCATAAGGTCCATTAAACTTCAAGCCCGACTTTAACCGAAATACCTAGTTTAAGCTCCATTAATTTTGCCAGTTAGCCACCGAGAATATATACATACAACCCAGAGGATTACATTACATGGTAATTTGCAAAGACAACTGAAATATTTAGCTCTTGGTAACTCAACCCCTTGCCCTCGAGCTTAACTTTCATCTCTTGGAGTGTGCAAGGTAACCTGGTCTGTAGCTACTCGGGCTGGGATATCCACCTGGCCCAGGTGTGACATTCTGCAGCTGCCAGGACAGGCTTCGAGCCCATTAAAACTAATTACTCATAATCATTTTTGGCTACTGCTCGACTGCCTCCAGGACACAGCCACCCATCTCTTCACCTCCATGGCCATGGCTCCTGGCGAGCGACAGTCCCAGCTGCCACACATATACATTGAAATTAATTAAAATTAAAATGGAAGTGGAAATGGAAATGGAAACGGAATGGGAAAGGGGATGTAGAAATGGGAAATGGAAATGGAAACGGTGGCCCGCGATGCTGCACATGTGGCAGGCTCAAGTCCTGGTTGATTTCCATGAAAACGACTCAACCGCAGATGATGGGGAAATTAGTGGCCGGGGAAAGAGCAAAAAGGAGATGAGTCAAATGTACAAAGTCAAGTGCACGGCGACCGATGATGAAAAATCTCTGCGAAATTAATTAAATTCTGTAATTTAAGCTCACCCCAGGCAGCCTGCCACTGGGTCCTCGAGGGGAGGTGGGCTTTTATCCTGATTATGTTGTGTCACTTGGCAGCACATCTGCCAGCCTCCCGCAGGATCCTTGTACCTGAGTTCGGTGACCTTTCGTCCTGACATTTACTCGTTATGCAGGGCAATGCAGGCCAGGCCACTCTGCCTCTATAACACTGGGGAAAGTTAAAGAGATGGTTAAAACGTTAAAAAAAAGGATAATGAATATTATATAAATTAATAAATTCATTTTAATAATTATAACAAATATATTTAACCTTTTAATTATTAATTTCTTTTCTAATTTTCCTACTCTTTTAGTGTTACTTTTGATTTATGATTTATTTTTCTGAGTGCTTATATTTGTTTTGTGAATTGAAGTGTGTGTGTGTGTGTTTGTGTGTGAGGAGGTCCTGCAGGCAGAGCCTTCATGTTGCCGCCGTTCGCCAGATGGCGCCACCTTTGCAACGCTGTCAAGCGCAACGCAGCGCAAAATTATTCTAATTAGAGTTCCCCAAACCCAAACCCAAACCCCAACTCACCCCGCCCATCTACCACCCTTCCATGATATCCTTTACAGTGCTTTTGAAAAGTTATTCAGTTAGACAGGGGAACGATACACAAAAAAAGTCTGTCTGTGTTTGGCTGTATAGTATGTTTCTAATTTGGCTGTTTTATTTTATACATTTTCTTTTATTTTTGTCGCTCTAAGCACTTTAGCTTACCCGTAGTTAGACTCCCTTCAAAAAGCTAATGTGTGTGTGCGTGTGTGGATAAGAGATTTGCGGGAAAAAAAGTAATCAAATTTGTGGTAAAATATACGTTTAAGTTTTAATGATAATCTAGTGGCCTTTAAAAGTTTCCTAACAAAGTTTGCCCTATTTTCTTAAATACAAACAAGAAAGGAAGCTAACTTCGAGAAGCCAAAGCTATAGGATAGTAGTTTCGTAATATGTATATTTTTAATATATTATATCTATATCTATATCTATATCTGAATATTATTCTGATTTTTCGGGTAAATCAACGCTTTTCAAATATCATTACAAAGGTAAAAATGCATTAATCGGAAAGCTGCTCTGAGCTAATCTTCATACGCGCTAACAAATCTGCATACTGCGTTTTTTAAATTTATAAAATTCAATTTTTTGTCGAATTTCGCAAATTTTAATGATGTAACCCCTTATCTTTTTTTCAAATTTCGGAAAAAATGAAAAAATGTATTTTTCCACTAGACATGGCTAGATCGATTGAGCTGTTCGTTCTGATCAAGAATATATATGAATTATAGGGTCGGAAATGCTTCCTTTATTTTTTATAAGCTTCTGATTAAGACTAATACCCTGCAAAAAGGTATAAAAACAGACAATTTTTTTAAAAATTCGTTATTTTGCAAACATCATAATTAAGCCAAAAATGAATTGATTTTAATTCGGAAAGCTGTTCTGTGTTAGTTTTTAAAGCGCTAACAAATATGCATACTGCGTTTGTTGATGATCTTAAAAGATTCTGAATAAAATTATAATAACCTGTAAAAAGGTATAAAAACAGGCAATTTTTGTAAATAATCAGCGTTTTTCAAACATCGTAATTAAGCCAAAAATGCATTAATTTCAATTCGGAAAGCTGATCTAAGCTAGTTTTCAAGGCGCTAACAAATCTGCATACTGCGTTTTTAAATTTATAAAATTCAATTTTTTGTCGAATTTCGCAAATTTTAATGATGTAACCCCTTATCTTGTTTTCAAATTTCGGAAAAAATTAAAAAATTTATTTCTCCACTAGACATGGCTAGATTGATTGAGCTGTTCGTTCTGATCAAGAATATATATGAATTATAGGGTCGGAAATGCTTCCTTTATTTTTTATACGCTTCTGATTAAAAGGTATAAAAACAGACCATTTTTGTAAAAATTCGTTATTTTGCAAACATCATAATTAAGCCAAAAATGAGTTGATTTTAATTCGGAAAGCTGTTTTGTGTTAGTTTTTAAAGCGCTAACAAATGTGCATACTGCGTTTGTTGATGCTCTTAAAAGATTCTGAATAAAATTATAATAACCTGAAAAAAGTTATAAAAACAGGCAATTTTTGTAAATAATCAGCGTTTTTCAAACATCGTAATTAAGCCAAAAATGCATTAATTTCAATTCGGAAAGCTGATCTAAGCTAGTTTTCAAGGCGCTAACAAATCTGCATACTGCGTTTTTAAATTTATAAAATTCAATTTTTTGTCGAATTTCGCAAATTTTAATGATGTAACCCCTTATCTTTTTTTCAAATTTCGGAAAAAATTAAAAAATTTATTTCTCCACTAGACATGGCTAGATTGATTAAGCTGTTCGTTCTGATCAAGAATATATATGAATTATAGGGTCGGAAATGCTTCCTTTATTTTTTATACGCTTCT